ACTGCCATTTTTTAATGCAGCATTTCATACCGAAAGCTCTGAAATTCAGGGTGCAATATATACATTGAACTTAATATATCATGAACACCATTTGTGTGCAAAAAGAAATATAGCAAATAGACTTGTGGTTGTCAGTCCAAATATATTAGGAACATGTAACTTACTTGTTTCTGCTTATCATGTTTTGTACCACTGAGTCACATATATTCCAACAGAAATTTTATTCTTTATTAATATCATCATTATCATTTTAAAAAATTAAGTGACTTAGGACATAACATTCCAAATATTGGCATTTATATTTCTTTTTGATGTACACACACTAAAATTTGTTTCTTATAGATATTATAGCTTGAAAAATAATAGTTTTCTCATATTTTCTTTTGATCTTTTCAAAAGAGAAGGGGAAACTCAAAATTTGCTTTTTATGGTCTTTCCTTTAAATCTCACAGGCTACTGTTTCCTTCTACACATGTATATTGGCTTCAAAGCAGCAACACTAATATATCAAAATAGTACATAATGATAGTGGTATGTATTGCAAAGATCATCTTTTCTTAGCATTATGAGAAAAATAAAGAGTATTAATATTAGTCTATATTGTAATTTAATCCTCAGTCCTGAATCTATGACATAATAGGGATAAACTTTAAAAATATCCACTACCATCATCATTATGTGTATGGGCATGAACACATATATGTATATGTACTTGAGTTGAGATTAGAGGGTAGTTATGTGAAGTCAGTCCTCCTTCTGCATTTATGTGGGTTATGGGGATTAAATGTCGGTTTCCAGGACTGTGTAGCAAGTACTTATCCTCTAAGCCGTCTTGTCAGACAAAAAAGATGCACTTTTAAATCAAATGGTAAAGCTACTATTATAATAATGGTTTAATTATTCTGGATGCAGCTTAAAGTGTTTCCTCCACAATATGGACAAAAAAATCAAGCATCATTTAATAGTTCTTTGTTCATAATCATCTGGACAAGTAAAAATATCACGACATGTATGAAGACTAAGGGGAAATCCAAGTCAGAAAAACTGTCAATAAAAAACCAAGTATGACTCATGATTTTTATATATAAATATATTATTGTACATCATTCTTAAGCCAGGAAAACATTTGTTTGTAGTGTTTTAGACTTGTTCACTGCTGAAAGGAGATGAGTGCTTCAAGACCCCCACTGAATAAATACCAATGAATGCTGTCTTTTTTGTCAAAGATATAGAAACTAAAACGTCACCAAGAAGGAACACATACATAGGCAAGAAAACATCTCTAAACATTTTGGACCTTGTTATTTTATTAGTTAAATGTAATACTAAATATAATAATAATAATAATAAATATTAACTATGCTGAAGTATTTTTGATGACTAATGGTAAGTGTTTTACTGGGCTGGGTGGTGCACATTTTATCCCCCACCCTAGGGGCAGAGGCAGATGGAGTTCAATACCAGCCTGATCTTCAGAGAGAGTTCCAGGCCAAAAAGGTTATACAGTGAGATCTTGTCTCATAAAAAAAAAAAAAATGGAAGGAAGGAATAGTAACTGTTGTCTTCTCATTTTTGAAATGTGTTAAATTAAATAGACAGGCACACACACCATAATGTTATGCCACTGTTATATTCATCTTGCACCACAAAACAAAATACTGTGATGATGACTCAGGCTGAACATCTGAGATCTTGGGCCCAGCATATGCAGGTTCTGGTGAGGGTCCCCTTCCCTTGCTGCAGATGGCTGCTTGCTGTGTCCTCACATGGTGGAGAGAGCAGGCAAATTGTGGTTCTCTCTTCTCTTTAAAAAGAGAAAACTACATCATGTATTCCTTAGGACTAATCTAAATCTAATCATCTTCCAAGAACCCATCTTCAAATAGATCACATTAAAGTTCGGGCTGTCCCATATGAATTTGAGGAGACATACAGAGATGCAACCTGCGAGAACAACATATTATCCTTTTAATATGAGGCAACCAATAGTCCATACATCTATTTCCCCATGTGAATTACTTTTACCATAGTAGAGCCTGGAATTGGGATGGGAGGTAGAAACATTTTTAGGTCATTTTTGTGAGGGTTTTGTGTCATTCCTGGTTTTATGTTCTCTTTAAATATTAAAAATTATGTATTTCTATATTACATAAGAGGTTAGTGTTGTACCACTAGTGTTTTATAAACTTCCTGAGAATAATGACTTTATTATTCACACACCACCTATGGGCAACTGCACTGGCTGAAGGTCAGAGCTTGTTAGCTTGGGAATTGGTCCCTCTGACGTCTGCTCATGTGTGCTGATTCCCCAGACGCTTGCACAAACCTGTTTGTTAGTTTTGGGTCAGCAAATGACTCACTCAGTCTTTATACTCTGTCATATTATAGCTGAGGAAATACCAGGGTGATTGGGAAAAGAAAAAAGTATAAGTGTTTTCATGACTCCGTTTTAAGGTAGTGGGGAATATGTTGCACCAAAGTGATCGAGCACTCACTAGACACTCACTTGTCAGAGTTAAGCTGAAAAACCCACCCCATTACTGCAGAAGAACAGCAGCGTTGTTTTATAGATATGGTTAATTGCTCTCACCATTAATTATCAAAAAGCATAGGGCAGCTAGATGCTTGGCAAAATTCTTCTTGTTAAACACGAATATCTTCACTTCACTTTCCATACGAGCAATTACGTATCTTTTTTTTTTTTGTAGAACAGCACTTTAACGTGTTCTTAACAGAGTAGAACACATTAGACTGTACATCCCACCCAATAAAACTTTAATTTCAATTAGTGTCTATAATATGACAATGCTAGTAAAGGGTGGCATTTAAAGGAGATATCATATCAGTTATCATATTAATGAGGATTTATGTGTACTATCTCTTGGATGAATATTGTTGTACCCTAGACTCCTGTTAGTGAACAGATCTTGGATGTGTACAGAATTTTTGTAAGTTTCGCTTATGCCATGTATCTATCAGTCTTTAAGAATGCTTATAAATGTGGTTAGAGTTATGTTTAAATATGTGGTTAGAAGTTTAAATACAACATATGTTAATAACCTTTCATTGGCTTTCTAGGACAAGAAGCAGAGCAAGGACGTTAAGCAAAGGGACTGTCACCACTGCTGATAATGCCTGCCAGCTGAACACTGTCTAGAGTTTTGTGATGATTATTCCTTTGCTTCTTAAAATCGATTTTGCATTCATTTTCCCAATTTTTTAACTTTACAGAGTGCAATCAATGATGCATTTTCTTTTGGATATTATTTTTTCTCAGCTTTGAATTCTGGAGATTGATGCATGTTAGTGCATGAAGCTGAGGTTCATTCTGATTGCCAAGAAAGAAATACTCCGCTGTGTGAGGATAACCTGATCTATCATCTACATGCTCCTTGATGAAATGTGTATTGTTTCCAGTTTGGACTCTTTGGAATAATAATGCTATGAAAAAATTAAGAGTGTCTTACCTAGAACAGTTTTCAAATAGGACACTCAGAACCACAGGGAAAACTCATGTCAACACAAACTGCTAATTCTTGATCTGCAGTTCCTGTGTAGATCAATGAGGTCACAATTGTCATGGATAGTGATAGACTGAAACTGCACTAAGCCCAAGGTCCTGGAGAGAGAGCAAAGAAAGGACCTACTGAGTCAGAGGGAAGGAGTATATTCCATCTTAACCCATGCTCCCAGAATGTTCTATCAGGAGACAATTTGAACTCTATTACAGGCATATAAGATGAATTTGTCTTCCTTCTTATTTTTGCTGGTACACTGAGTATGCTATAGTATTTTATCATCTTTTCAATCTCTACCTTGTTCATGAGATTAAGAATGTTTTAATGTATCTCTTGATCACTTGACTCACTCAAGTCTTTCTGTAAGTTTTTGTTTGTTTATTTTGAGTCTGAGTTTCTCTCTGTATCCTTGGTTGTCCTGGATCTTATACCAGGTTGACCTCAAACTCACAGAGAGTTTTTCATTATTTTATCTGTCTTTTCCTCACTGCTTTCTGCATTTTAAAGAACGTTTAATTTTTTGAGCACCAGTGTTTGTTAGTTACATGTTTTTTATTGTTGTTATTGTTTGTTTTAAAAATAGCCTTTCCCTTTCATGGCTATTCTTTTTATTCACTTTGTAATTTACTTTAATTACATGGATATTTAACCTTTGATGCATTATTTAGATACAATTTTGAATTCAGGGCTAAAGAAATATTTTGAGAAGTTATTGCTCTCTAATATCATATAAGATATTATGGCCATTAATTTTAGGTGTTATGTTATCAAGGAGAGAGTGGTTATATATTCACATTTTATCATTCTATTAATGGTTAGTATGTTTTGTATCTTTTCTACAGAATAATTATTCTCCTTTCTAGGTATATGAATTTCTGAACATTTGTGTTTTTATTAAAATTACTTGTAAATGGCCTCATCTTTCCTCTTTCATTTCATAAAATAATATGCCATCTTAGACCTCAGTTCCACTGTATTTTATCATAAAAAGCAAGTCACAAATTCAGTTCAAATTCAAAGGGTGACCTCTTACATTTTACTTTATGACGACAGTGTATAGTATGCCATATTACAAAGTATTTGGCATATAGTACAACCTGGTAACATATATGATAGGGTTCTCTAACATATATGATAAGGTTACTGAATGGTCACCACCCTCTTTGACATGTTGAGGTTAGAGGCGTTGAATCTCTATTGAGACACTCTTAGGAGAACCTTGTTATGAATCCTATCACCTTAGTTAGTGAGGTCTTAAACAGACACAGAGATCTCAGGATAGCAAATAATCTAAATAAGGGCCTGGATGTGGCTTTTATTTATCTCCAAAGAGATATCTGATAGACACTATTAATTATCAAGAGAAATATCCATTAGATAATTTTTGCACAATACAAAGGGCAGGGATAGCATTATGAGCAGTTTCTAAAGACACAGGTTTTTTTTTTTACATCAATGGCTTTATTTTGCAATTTAAAGTGGAAAAGTATGAAATGCTTCATGAATTTGAATGTCATCCTTACTCAAACAACATGCTAATCTTCTTAGTATCATTCCAATTTTAGTACATGTGCTACTACAGCAAGCATAAAGCACAATTTTCAATTCATATCTTAAATATTTTTGAAGCTTGGACTAAAGCAACAGCAGAAAAAAATAGAAGGGAAGAATAAAAATGATTTCTACAGTGAAAAAGATTGTCAGGCAGGAATACAGAAGGAAAGAAAGTAACAGACCGATGATAACTCTTCAGTTTAGGTCTGGCATGGTGATTCACACCTTTAATTCTAGCACTCAGGATGCAGAGTAGGCAAATTTGTGAGTTCAAGGGTAATGTTAGCCTGGCCTATGTTAGGCTGGAGAGTTCCGGACAAGCCAGGGCAATATAATGACACTCTGTTTCAAAAAGAAGCAAGAAGTTAGTAGAAATAAACATTAAAGTTACTTGACCAGGTACTATTTGTGAACAGTTACTTACCACACAGAGGGAAAATGCGAAGACAGTCTGGGAGAGAAAGGATAGCAACTTGAACTTTGAACACCCTGAGGCTGAGTATAACATTAGCATGTTGAAAATTGTGAGACATTGTTAGATTGAGTATGCAGATCCATTGGTTTAGTTTATACATTTCTGTGAAAAGAACAGAAGAAATTTTAAGGATTGATTCTAAACAAAAGTGGTACCATCATATCATGGTGGCCTATTTATCATTTCAATATTAAAAATTTTATATCCTAGAATTTTCATTGTAATTAGAATAGCTATGTAATGTCACAATGGAGTGAGAGCCATACCCATCAAACACTAATCTACCTCTGTTGAGATTGGAGACTTGATTAAGATAATTTCTATCTGTTTAGTCAGTGATGCATTCAATTCTGTTTTCTTATTTGATTTTTTAAAGGACTGGGGATAAAATCTAGGATCCTGTATTAGTATTCTTTTTTATTTCTTGATAAAACACCACAATCAAGACAACTTAGAAAGAAAGAGGTTATTTGGGCTTGTGGTTCTGGAGGGATAACAGTCTGTCAGGGCAAGAAAGCATGGAAGGCATTGGGGCAGAAACAGGAAATTGAGAACTTACTTTTTGAGTCATAAGCACAGAAGGGAAAGAATAGAGTATGAAGGGTGAATCTTTGAACTCTCAAATCCCACCTTCAGTGACACACTACAGCTAGGCCGCACTTCCTAATCTTCCCTAAGCAACATCACTAACTGAAGATCAAGTATTCAAATGTACATTGTCATACAAACCCACATACTGGGCAAGCTCACTACCACACTATCTTCCTCAGGCTAATCTTGATTAGCTATTTATACCAGGTTATTTCCTAACACATGATCCTCCTGACTCTACCCGCCAAGGGCTGGGATGACAGGTTGGTGCTACCATACAGACAGCTGAAATTTTGTAGAAACAGTGAATGATAGATGATGCCTGTGGGCCATACTTTGAGTTACAGGTTTCTAGAAAGAATTCACGCATGGTGCTTAGAATGCAGTACTAGCTACTATACCTAACTTAGCTAAGTTTAAAGAAATCAGAGAAATAAAACGCTCATTTACAATATTTAATATTTTAATGATATTTAGAGATAAGCATCATGTTGAACAAAGAAATAAATATTGAACATTCTCAACCCCTGTTGTCTAATAGCCACAACTCAAATGTATAATTTCCCCAGACATCTATACATGTTAGGCACCTTTCACCCACAATTGCTATCTTGAGTACATCCAAAGCTCTAGGAATATCACTTAATAGTCAGTGAGACAAAAAAAGGCAAGAACAGATACAAAAGCTGATGTTTAATGATTTCTGCCAACTGAACTTAAAAGGGCTGGTGTAGCCTCTGACATAATGCCTTACAGTTAAACTGCACATACTGTCTTGTACTTTGGGAGGAAGTGTTCTTCAGTGACAACTTCATTTCTGAGTGTTACCTTCAGGGATCTTTTTAACCTCGTAGCCCATTATCTCCATTTGTTGTTGACTATTTTCATGATGAAACAAGCCAATCCAAGAACATGTCCCCTTTGACCAGCAGAGGAACTGTCGGGGTCCAATGCCCCAACATAAACGACTTTTACCTCTCTGGACCTTCCTGGAGGCACGGGAATAATTGAGACACAGTTCACACATCAATATCAGAAGGGAGTCTCATGTTTCATTCAAATCCTAAAGATCACCCGCGTTTATTATCCAAACACCCTTTTTTTTTTTTTTTTGGTTTTTCGAGACAGGGTTTCTCTGTAGCTTTGGAGCCTGTCCTGGAACTCCCTTTGTAGACCAGACTGGCCTCGAACTCACAGAGATCCGCCTGCCTCTGCCTCCTGAGTGCTGGGATTACAGGCCTGCACCGCTGCCACCACCACACAGCCATCCAAACACCTTTTATCCCCCAAGGTAAACTAAGGTAGAAGTTCATTAACATTCTGTTTCAAGTCTGCAGCTCTAGTCACTAGCTTGGAATTCACACTTCTTCTCAGGCAATCTACATAATTACAAAAGAAAAGGAGCAGCCTATCCTGAGCTTTTGTTAGGATAGTGATAGCCTGCCTGGAAGGGTACCATGACTGCTTTGGATACTAACCATGACCTGAGAACTTGGCTGTCACACCATGTAGAAATATAAGGAACAGAACACAGGAATTAATGGTTGGTCTCAGGAGATGCTCTAAGAATTGTAGCTGGATGCAGGCTATCAGCACCATGGCCCTTTTTGCTATGGGAGATAGAATACCTTTTTAACACTTTTTGCTATTTAGAATCTGTAACAGACTGAGGAATAAAAAGAACCCCACTCTAGTCTCTTATTAAAGAACTGAAAACCTCTGGATAGTGGTGGCACACATTCTTAGTCCCAGCACTAGCAAGGCAGAGGCAAGTGGATCTCTGAGGCCAGCCTGGTCTACAGAGGTATCCTGGACAGCCAGGGCTACACGAAGAAACCCTGTCTCAAATAAAAAAAAAAATTGAGAACCAACTCATCGTTTGTATATGCATTTAAATATATTTGGTTTTTAAATCATGTATTGCCTTATAAAACATAACTGATGAAAAGTTGCAAATGAAAATATAAATATTTTGTAACTGTGAAATATAAGTTGCTTGGTCAATTAAAACAGTTTGGATACATATACATTCATGATAATTTTGGGGATACAAGTGTAGGGTCAATGAGAAATCTCATACACTTAACTACATTCTTCTCCACTGGCTAATGAACTCAAGTACCTTTTCATAGACTTTTGGCCATTTTTTGTGTTTTTCTTAAAGAAATACGTAGTCAAGCCATTTGCTTCTTTTTTTTTAAAGTCTGTTTTTAAAATTGTTTCTTTTCCTCCTGAATATTAACCTTCATCAGGCCATGAAAGGAGACAGAGACAGAGACCCACATTGGAGCACCGGACAGTAATCTCAAGGTCCAAATCTGGAGCAGAAGGAGAGAGAGCACGAGCAAGGAACTCAGGACTGCAGGGGTGCACCCACACACTGAGACAAAGGTGATGTTCTATCGGGAACTCACCAAGGCCAGCTGGCCTGGGTCTGAAAAAGCCTGGGATAAAACCGGACTCGCTGAACATAGTGGACAATGAGGACTACTGAGAACTCAAGAACAATGGCACTGGGTTTTGATCCTACTGCACGTACTGGCTTTGTGGGAGCCTAGGCAGTTTGGATGCTCACCTTACTAAACCTGGATGGAGGTGGGGGTTCCTTGGACTTCCCACAGGACAGGGAACCCTGATTGCTCTTTGGGCTGACGAGGGAGGGGACTTGATTGCGGGAGGGGGAGGGAAATGGGAGGCGGTGGCAGGGAAGAGACAGAAATCTTTAATAAATAAATAAATAAATTTAAAAAAAGTAAAATTGTTTCTTTTTTTCCTTACTACTAGGGTACATGAAACATTTATTAAATCGTATCAGATCTATAATTTTCAAATATTTTCTACTTTATAGCCTGGCTTTCACATTTGTGTTGCTATAGTTAACTTTTGAAGGAATCTCATTTATGCTTTTCTGTGCTGCCTGTGCTTTTAGCATTATGTCCAGAAATTAACTGTCAAGGCCAATGTCATAGAGCCTGCTCTTCTGGTAGCTTTATGGTTTTAGGTCCTAATTGGGAATTTACCATGCTCTGTTAAGTTTGGTTCATGGTATGAGATTGGTCTGTTTTGGTTTTCTTTCATGTTCAGCCCTAGTTTTTCAACAACCACACTGATTTCCACAGTGGCTGGGCATGTTTGGCCTTTCTGTAGAAACAGGTGAGTGCTCCCCCATTGTACCATAGCCTCGCCAGCACGATCCATCATTGGTGTTACTGATCTTGGTCATTCTGGTTTGTGTAAGCTGAAATCTCAAAGTAGTTCTGGTTTGCATTTCCCTAATGACTAAGGTTGTTGAACATTTCTTTAAGTTTTTCTCAGCAATTTCCTCTTTTGAGAATTCTCCATTTAGATCTTCACCCTATTTTTAAATTGGGTTATTTGTTTTCTTAATATCTACTTTTTGAGTTCTTTATATATTTTGGATATTAACCCTGTATTGGGCACATAGTTGGTTTAAAAATAACAAAATTTTCCCATTCTGTAGCCTGCTTTTTGTCATATGAAAGCATTGTTAGTTTCAAGAGGTCCCACTTAATGTTGATCTTAGTGCCTATGTTAACAGTATTCTGTTTAGAAAGTCATTTCCTGTGCCAACAATTTCAAAGATATTCTCTATTTTCTCTTCTTTCAGGTTCAGTGTATCCAACTTTATGCTGAAGTCATTGATTGATTTAAGTTGAGTTTGGGGCAGAATGATAATATGGATCTATTTGCATTCTTTTACCTGTAGCCATCCAGTTTGATCAGAATCATTTATTGAAGATGCTATCTTTTTTTCCAGTGTTGAATTTCTGGCTTCTTTATCAAAAATCAGTTGTACATTGGTGTGTGGATTTATGTCCAGAACTTTATTTCTATTTCACTGATCAAAATGTCTGTTTTTGTACCGATACCATGCTATTGTTTTACAATACAACCTGATGTCAGGGATGATGATAACTCCAGAAACCTACCGTTTGGTTATTCAG